TAATCAATGAAGAGGCAAAATATTTACCTTGAGGGCATGAACTCTCTTACCTTTTATCGCTGGTATGCGCAGGATGCGTCTGGGTCGGACAGTCAGGGTGAATATAAGTCAATGGAGAGTTTTAGATCCACGTTTGGTGTGCTCACCAAAAACGTCAAACCGCGGTCAGCAGTTTCTACTTAGAAGTTAGAAGTTTCGAGACATTCAGCTTTTTTGATCGACGTCGACTTTCACCTGAAAAAAAATTAACACTTGTGCCGCCATCTTGAATCACGCAAACGATGGAGGTCCTTCATTTCAAACATAAAATGTAGTCAAAAAATTGGTTTTCTATTGTCCCAAATGGATTGTTTATAAAGAAAAGACTCCACCTCACATATATTTATAGGATATACGTGAGAACTTTCGAACAGGAAGAAAAAAAGCATCGAGGGAGTTCAACTAATTGAAACTGCCTTGCCCGAAGTTCAAACTGTACACAAACGGCGAACGTGACCGCTGAAGTCTGGCACGTAACTCCCAGACATTTGCGATCACACGTATTCAGAAACAAACGTGGATCTAAGACTCCGTAATATATATTTAGCCGGACAGTTCGATGCAGCGGACGCATGTTGAAAAAACAAAGTTGTAAACGCATCTGATAAACGGTTAAGAGTAAAAAACACGAACCTACATCGTTGTTCCTCTTTTATTCTGTCAATCCGAAAGAATATGTTGTTTCCTAACTTTTGTACAGCAAATATTACTGTCAACATTTGAATTAGTATCCACCGAGTACGTTGATGCGTTCTGTCGTATTCAATATCCAATCCGTAGAAACTATTTCAACTGAAGGCCTGAACCACATTTTTTCAAAAAGTAGAGGAGCGTAAAACTAATGATTTTTTTTTTTTACCACTATCAAAACACACCTCAGACTACAGGAAACTTCAACTTCGTGTTTTTGGTATAAACGTGATTTACTTACTCTTTACTTGTAACCCAGGATAAGAAACAATGTTTGTTTTCCTTCTCACTTGGTGCGCGTAGGCGGTTTATTGTACTCTTTCAGCCGTCTCTCTGCTGCACTTCGCATTTCCTCATTCCTGAATCATCTACGTGGAACGTGAAAACAAATGTATAGTTTTTTTTGTCTGATGCCAATCATAGTCTCCCAATTTGAAAAAAACCAAAATGTTGAGGTTGAATAACCCCAACAACCGGGATGATAAAGATTCTGACAGTCTTGCTCATTCAAGGTGTCGAGGGTCATACACATGGACAATTTGTGTGAAAATAGTCACTTGTGAAAAGTTCGAAACAAGAATTTTCTTCCAATGCCAGTAAAAGATCCAGTGCGCGAGAAAAAATGAGCCAACCACGTCAAAGAACTTTAACTGACCTTCGCATTGAAAGTTGACGCGGAGATTTCCTCAGAATTTTGTTTTTTGATTTACGGAGCTGTCTTTAGTTGTTTTGAACTTTCTTTCGTGCAAATTTCAATCTTTTTCGGGAAACGATGTGAAGTACGGTACGGCGATACGAAATACAAGCTGACCTCTAGATAGCTTACCCACTGGCCTGTTCCGAGAATCCGAACCAAGGCAGTGCGAATTGCGAAATTTTCAGTTCAGCGTCGAACGCAATGCCATATTACCTTGGCGTTACTACACTATGTGTTTGTTCCGGAAAACGATGCGCCACTTTTTCAACCGCGAAAAGGTCACACTAGCCTCCTCATGTAAGGAAAAAAGAGCGTTTTTAGTAGCCATCACACTGCAACAGTCGATAGTGAGTTTGATGTGCTTTTTCGCTTTTCTAAAACCCTGATAACGCTAAACTAAGATTTACCTTTGAAACTCCGTTACTTAAAAGATCATTTTCCATTACATCTTTCCCATAGACGGTTTATGATTTCATTAACATACCGCAAAAAAGACTGCCACACTGTGACGGAAGGCATAAACGCAAATTGTGAGAAAGGTTTGAATTGTCTGTTAATTGACGTCACAGAGACTAATCAATTAAACGTGATTGATGTTGCGCGCGCGGTTTTCTACTCGTCAATCGGTGAAATTAGATGACTTTTCCTTACTAAAGCTGCTTCCGAGGTCGCTCAAAAAAACTTAACCCATCATAGGAAAATGAACAATGAATCCTGAGCGGTCAATGATCAAATGACTACGCAGATGAAACGTTTGCTGATCAAACTAACAATGCTATTTATCAAAATGTTTTTGATTACCAGTAAAGTAGCTTAAATTTCTCTTTTCCGTAAATGCATCGTAAAGGAGTTAGGTCATAAAGCAGTTACAACTGTTCGTATTCTTCAGTTATGGCTAGCTTGTCTAAAAACCCAAAAGAAAATTTACCTAAGGGTGCGAGAACTCGTAAAAACCCTCCAAAACTGAGCGAATGATAAAAGAAGGCTTTGCGATTCACTGATTAGAGGTTTTTCAGAAATCCTCTTATTCAATATCATCAGGCCTCTTTTCATGGTTGTATTTGTCGACCTCTTAGAATCACTCAAATCAGCAACTAAATATCAATGAACCCATTACAACTTCGTCGTCTTTAAGGATGTCAACTCTTGATGCCATAGTCTTTGACGTAAGCCATTCGCAAAAGACGAAAAGTATGTCAAGTTCATGCTCAATTAAACTTGTCTCCTCTTCAAAAACTGTAAAAAAACTGCAAAGGGATTTACCACACATTAATCCGTATACAAGGTATTTTATGATTTCTCCAAACGTTCGTATCTCACCTTTTTTCTTCGAGGTGTTTATTTTCGTTACTTTCATTTCTGTTGCTTTCGTCTGATATATGTCTTGTTCCCATGGTGTTTGCGTGTTCGAAAATTTCATCATGGGATTACATGACTCACTTTTAATGTGTCCACAGCTGTCCATTATCGTTTGCAACGACAGCGAATTTAAGCTCGTTAGTCGTCTTAGTGTGTTGCCGAACGGTTGTTTCTGGACTCGTACACAATTCAATTGATCAGTTAATAATAATGATAACAATGATAATAGAGATGATGATGACGATGATGCTGATGACAATAATGTTTATGAGAGACATAATGGCCATTACAATGTTAACTTACCAGTGTTTTTATCAAAAAGGGGTCTGGTGAAAATGATTACAAAGGACCCTAAAAAACTTTCTTAAAAATGTTACAACAGAGTTGCACTTATTCAAAGGTCCGAGTAGACTGTGAACAGCTTTCGATCCGTGAAAGTAAGATGCTCTTTTCTTAGTCTCTTTTCACACTCTCGGGCGCAGCCTTAATCATAACCAGCGCGTATAAGATTGCGTGAGTGAGGCCATTTAAATAATGAATTTGATACCGAGCAAGATTGCAGACTTTTTTCTTAGATGTCGATGTCGTAAACTTCATAGTAAGTCATACCATGAGATAATCAAAAGCTCCTTAAGGCTACTATTCAATTAACAGATGAGTACGTGAACCGTTTGCCATCCCCTCCCATGACGCATGACGAACCTTGAATGACCATTTGATTGTCATCTTTAAAAGCGTGCAATCTGTGCCCAAGAAAGTAATAAAGAAAAGAACTCCAAAGTCTTAAAATTTACCTTGATAACAGTCCCAACAGCTGAGATGGAGATTTTTGTGGCACCGCGTAAATGATTTCAACCAGTCTTGTCTTCAAGATGATTTTCGCGAAGTGTTTGACTCCCATTTGGCTCTATATTGCACGTTTTGCGGCTGATTTACCATCTTCTGAGTCTTTACAATATTCATTAAGCCTATCTGATTTAACCTGTTTTGAGGTGTTACGTATCTCGTTGGATTTTACCTTTCTTTGTTACACTATTACCTTGTGAGCTATTTCGCTCCTGGTCTGGCTGCGTGAATCTTCTTAGCGAAATATTAAATTTTATTACTTTCGTGAGCACAAACTGGATTTTCAGCAACAATTTTGTGTCTCTAGTTGATTTTAAGACTTGAGGCCCTTTACTTTCCTGTTTAGTATTCTTTTTGCATGTTTAAAGAAGGAAAAACCAACTATTTCGATATTCATTTCAGCGTTCGGCTGCGACGGATGCAATTTTGATTTATGTCGATAACTTCATGTACTCACGCAAACATTCCCACCTTTGTCCCACCTGCCTCCAGATATATGATCAGAAGACGGTAGCACAACTTAGGTAACGGAAACAAACCTTGTGGGGGAGGCAGGGGATAACGGGTTTAATCAAAGTTGTTATGCATAAATTAATTGTCTGCCAGATAAAACTGAAATCGGGTGAGTGAGTAGGTAAGCAAGAGAGTGAGCAAATTTTAGGTCCATACGTTAACCGCACAGTATGACTACGTCACACCATGAGGTAAAGTGATAATTGTATAAGTTACGAAGCATTGAGCAAAGCTTGAATTTATCAATGTCACCTACGACTGAGACTGTGGAAATTAAAATGTGATATAGAAAAACAGTGTGTTATAATTTCTCACATTGACTCCACGAAATTTTTGCTACACTGAGTAAAGAACCAAAAATCGGCAACCGGATCAAGCCAGTTGGTGGCGAGTGCGGTTTCATGACTAACAGGATTAAACAAAGGAATCTACCAAGTCTAAATCAAAATTTAAGGGACCGTACGTATCCGGATTTGCGGAGATACACAGCACGCTTCTTTTCTCAACAAAGTGTTTGTTTTAAATCAGTTCCAATCCCATTTCTCCCTCGCTATCCTCATTCCTCCTAGGAAAAATAGACTAGTTTTGACCGCTACGGCGAGTAGAGGTGTCTTTAAAAAGGTTTTTTTTTTGTTACACAAGGTAACCTTCGGGTTGGAAGAGTAGAAGACCACAGAATGATGTTTACTTGCAGAGGCGGATCCAGGGGAGGGGTTGAGGGGGTTGCAACCCCCCCTTTGAGGAGCATTTGTCTCTTGTTATTTGTTTTATTCTTCTTAAATTAATTATAAATAAAATCTTCTTACAAAGTTTTTCTACTTCTACCATTCGACTGCTTGTCAAGTTATAAAAGGTAATGTACATTTTGCGAAACGTGTATGCGTCAAAAATTAAGGAAAGGCTTACAGCAGAGCTAAGGACTAAGGACCTTCCTTTCACGATCATAGCTGACAAGAGCACTGATCCACACTCAAACCAGGAGATCTTATCTTTATGCTTGAGGTTTGTGGACCAGTCTTCGCCAAACGATCCTCATATCAAAGAATGCCTGATTAATTTCATGCATTTGGAACGAAATGCCACCATGATTTCAAGAAAGATTTTGGAATCTCTCTCTGATCCATCTATTTCTTTAGATCCCAGCAACATCCGTGGTCAGGCATATGATGGAGCTTCCGTTATGCGAAGTGGAAAGGAAGGAGTGCAGGCCAAGATAAAAGAGATCAATCCGTTAGCTCTTTTCACACATTGCTATGCTCACTGCCTGAACCTCTCCATCGCAACATCATGCAAACTGTCGGAAGTGCGAAATTTGATAGGTCAGATTAATGAGGCATATCTATTTTTAAATAACAGCCCAAGCGACAACAGCTGTTTGCGTTGACTCGGAAAGAATACCTGCCTGAGAATTCTTACAGCAAGCTTCCAGGTCTATGGAAGACACGCTGGGTGGAGACACACGTGCCTAGATTTTTTCCAGGAAATGTACGAGCTCCTAGTCACCTTTCTAGATGCTTTTATTTCCCCGTACGAGTACCCAAACTTGAAATCGTCTACTTGAAGCTGGAATTGGGACAAAGATACTATCACAAAAGCCCAGGGACTGAAAGCCTCTTTGTTGTCATTCCAGACCGTAGTGGTTTTTATTGCGACCAGGAATACTCTTGATGAAGTCAAAACTGTTGCATCAAAGCTGCAGAAACGGGATCAAGATATTTTTGAAGCTTACATGATGGCTGACGAAGTAATTGGAAACATCAAGTCCGTTAGAAAAAACATTGACAGCGACTTTCAAGTTTAGTACAAACAAATATTAGACCTTGCTGAAAAACTGGGAATTGTTGAAGCTATATTTCCAGGAAGACACACATACAGAGGAATCGCTCAAACATTCCCAGCTGTAGTCCAATTTATCATTACAAAAAATCTGTGGCTATTCCCCTTCTTGATTCTCTGATTATTCAAATGCAAGACCGATTTTCTGAAGAAGATCGCCACGCCCGTCACTTGCTTTATCTAGTACCCTCTATCATAGTTAATAAAACCCTGAAGCTATCTGAAGCAACAGAAGGCATGTTGTTGTGGGAGAATGACCTTCCATTTCCCAAATCCCTTTGAAATGAGCTGTGAAGATGGCAAATTATGTGGCAGTCAGCAGAGAAGGGACTTCCAAGCAATCTTCTACTCGCACTTGGCGCGTGTGACAAGGATGCTTTTCCAAACATCCATCGTCTTCTTCTCATTGCATGTACCCTACCAATCAGTATTGCGGAAGCCGAGTGATCCTTTCACTCATGAAATGGATCAAGACGAGCACCAGATCAATGATATATGAAGAGAGCTTTTCAGATCTCGCCATTATTGCTGTGCATTACCCCGAGAGATTCGAGGTAGACGAGATATGCGAGGCCTTTGTAAAAGCTCATCCTAGGAGACTCTTTAAGGCTACGTTCTTTGATTAACCAGGTATTTAGAGAAACGACAAATAACTATTTTTGATACTGCTGTCCCTTTCAATCGTGCACTTTCATTTTTGGGATTATTGTTGAAAAGTAAGATAAACCCCAGATTTTGTATAATACCCACACAACGCTTTTCAAGTCTCAGGAATTCTGTAAATGGCGCTTTAGATGGAAAAATCGGAAACTTTTTTTTGCGTGGGGGGGGGAGGGAGGGAGGGGAGGGGGGGGGAGGGGAGGAGCATGGCTCCAGTCCCCTTGCGCCAGAGGCACGGGGCCGTCACTCGACTTCCACATCATTGGCGTTAAAGGTTATTAGAATAGTGTACAACCCCCCCTTTGAGAAATTCTTGGACCGCCCCTGACTTGGCATTTTTATTTATGCAATCATATATTCAAGCAGTACTCTACATATATATAACTTATTACATGACGTCTTTAACCCTTTACACTCCAATATCAGAATGCATATTCTCCAAACTGTTCTCTATATATTTCCTTATGTGCTGGCAAGGAGAATTTCTTTAACAATCAAGAGGTTCCTCAGTCGATTATCATTTCCTTTATTCTCATGACCCTAATGTGTGACTCAGGGGTGATGTTGAGTAGAGAAATTAGATGCTAGTCACTCTCAGGGATTAAAGTGTTATTAGCTGTACTCAGTGTGTAGGGCAATACGGCTTGAACCTCATAAGCCTGGGCATGAGAACAAAACCCCGACAACAAATATCACTTCGAGTGCTAATATGACACATGGTTAGCCCGGGATGAGTTGTGCGAAAGCGAGGCTTGTCAGGCCTTAGTGTTTTGTTTTAATAAATCGTTCTCTAGAAGCGTCTCACATATTTTCCATGCATCTAATTGGTTTTATACTTGTATCCTACCAGATATAGGCAGGATGAAATCTCTCATAGGAGAAAATTAAACTCGTCATTTTCTTAATTTCCCTGTTCGCGTTCGTATCTGAGGAGATAACAGGGGGCGTTGCGCAATTCGTCGAGCAGAAGAAAGGATTTTGTGGCCGTTGAGAGAAGAAGATATTATCTCTACATTATCGGCAAGAAGATTTCAGGACATTGTTCGACAGGGAAATTGTACCTAGTAACGACAGTGATTTTCCTACACAATGTACTTGGTCATTTTCTTCTATAAAAAAAAAAAAAAGGAAGATTCTCGTGAACTAATTCTTTTGCCATAATGGACTGGAATAATGGAATATATTGTCAATACTCTTGTTCTAACATAATAATTTGAAACAAAATTTTGACGACGAAGAAAAAATTAATGTGCAACAGTAATTTTATTTAAAAGGTTACCTCATATTTCACCTTCAGCCGCACAAACTCCATCACATCCCTCCCCTCCCTCGATCTCTAACCCTTCAACTAATTTCATCCTACGCACAATGACCTCTTGTTCTCGAAACTCTCGTGACTTGCAGCTGGAAAACGGAAAAAGTTATTGTGCTTTGTCACCATAACAAAAGAATTCTAATTAAATTCCATTTTTAACTCTCGTTTAAAATGTTTTACGCAAATGTCCGCGTTATCAATGGAAAATGACGAACTCCGTGGTGTTTTTTCTCTTTAATCCAAGTTGGATGTAACTTTTTTTAACTTTCAAAACTGAATAATCTGACGGGACTAAGACAACGAAAAGTTGATGTTACTTGAAAGCAGTTTCTCGTAAAATCAAACCGTGAGAGGAAACCAAATCACCAGCAGACGTTAAGGACAGTATTACTTGAATGAGGTATACGATCATTTTGATCGATGGTAAGTATATTCTGAAATAAAAATAGGCAGTTTAACGTGTGATGAATTGTGATGTTTGGTAAATTTGAAACCTAAAGCACGAGTCTCTGAAACAGTCAAGTAATAATTTAAGATCTGAGACGTCTTGAGACAGTTTAGGAATGAGAGAGAAGGCTCTAAGGCTTTGTGTCCGAAGTTCTTATAAACAGCTTGAATTCAATCGCTCTGTAGACAGCCCTGACAGCTCTGACCTACTGACAACTGTGCTTGCTAAAGGTGTGGAGCAAAGAAATATCCCGTCATACCGACTAGAATATACCTACTTCAATAGCCGTAAGAACATAAAATACTAACAAACTTGTGATATCTTTGGAAGTTATGTCAATATTCTCAAAATTGTCCTCAGCCTGAAAATAACTATTTTCCTCTCCAAATAAAATTTGGAATTCAAATAAGGTATCAGGAGTATAAGCGTGCTAGCCTAAGTACAGTGAATTATGTATCAGAATTATCAACTGACTAACCAAGATCAGACCAGTAATACTGAGGTTTTAGTCTTCTAAGTGTTGCATACACTTGGTGTGAGACACCATATTTGCTTAAACAATCTCGTGGGGAGAGTATATTCTAGTCTAAGATTTTCTGCCCCAAAGTATAGTGAAGCTATGACAAAATAAGAAACGTGACGTAAAAACTTTGAGTTAAAATGGAACGAAAACACAATTAAAATAAAAGGTGTGTTTGATTAAAATGATAATTGCACTACACCTTTCTCTGCACTTGTAAATACAAGGAATTTTAATTGAGATATATTCCAGTAACATTTTAAAAGCTGAAGCAAATGCATTCAGGGTTAATAATTGAGAGGTATTAGTCCGCTGAGGAAAAAGCCTAGTCAGTTGGGAAATGTTTTTCAGCCAAAATAAGCTCTAAACTATAGTCTTCAATTCTTTCAGTGGTCTATCCAGCTCACGACCTCAGTCATTCAAGTCTTTTTTTACTGCCAAGGTAGCTCATTTCCAGTGATCTGAAAGAACAAAACGTGATGATATTTTAATTACATCCTTTCTTTTTGCTATTAGACTTCAAAACACTGATACACCTACATGAAAAGTGATTCAAATAAGGTGAATGGCTATTCTTTTCAGGAACAATCTCTCTTAAACATGTATAAGTAGACACTCAGTGCAATGTGTTATTGAGCCAAAGCGACGCAGTACTTAGGAATGGAACAGTTGTTAATTTTCCGACTTAAGAGTGTGCATGATAATACGAATGAAGTCCATGTTTATGATAATGTAAGATAATAAGTCTGAAAAATATTTTGTTACGTATTTTCAGACGCCCGCCGACTGCAATAACAATTTAGTATTTTCAAAATAAGCTTTGTTTTGTCTTTTTAGCTATTCCAGCTGCGCTGACACGTCATCTTGTTTTAATTTACATTCCCCACGCTCCTTGCAAACACTAGGTCATTTCGAGTCTGACAGAATCGTTTCATGCTGAAATGATAGACCTGAGATTTCACCAATTGACATGAAGAAAAGGTTTAAGTATTAGTGGAAGGAAGGACTTTCCATCAACGTGAAGTCATTGGCAAGTGTTAGAGAATCGAAAGGTGATCATGATTTATTCTTATGGAGAATCAGTTTTAGTATCTCGCCATGCATTTTGAAGTTATAGAACGCTAGGTATTTGCTTTGGTTCTTCTGAATTTTACCTTTTAAAATCATAGGAAAAGTTTTCCGTGAACCTTGATCTTGAGCTGTTCCATTAATTCGCGGAATATTTTATCGAAAGAAGGCCAAACTCTAAGTTTATCCTGCATTCTCAAAATTGCACAATTCTATGTACCTTGGGCTTATATTGATGAAAGGTCAGACAATAAAGGTTCAAAGAAATCCTGCCGCTCATATTTTGGTAGTTATTGAAAGCTTGGCCTTCAGGCTTTGTAAAATTATAGTAATTGCATTTGTCAATGACAAATATTAAAGATGAAGTGCAGTGTTTTAAAGGGAACGTTCACTATTCATGTAGCTTTGTATTTTAATTATCTCATCTTGTTCACCACACGAGGTACCTCAAATATCTTTCTAGAAATTATAGAGACTGAATTAGCACCACATTTAATCGTTCTTTGTCGACTCTTCTTTTTCCTCCTAAATTGTCGGTCAAACGGACACACAACTCGAGTTTATTATTTTATTTGAATGACTGGATCATTGTAACAACAGTCCTCACTGCTCATGAAACGGGCATCTGTACACTTCTTCCAAACAGTCAGATTCTGATCATTGTCAGTTGAATTATTGATCTATGGATACACTGTGTTAAGAGAACATTATTGAACGAACAATATTTCGGAGAGAATAAGAAGGGATTGCATTTATTTTGTCTCTGAAAGATCGCTTAACAATTACCTTAGAGCCGACTGCTCAGGAATCATCTGTGCACTGCACAGGGAATTTTAACTCTGCAAAGTAAAAGAGAAAGAGCGAGTGAATTAGAAGAAATTTGAATAAATCACTATCACTAACTAATATAATGTTTATATATATATATATGATATATATATATATATACACATTAGGGTGAAACCTTCTGATAAGCATAGTAGAAGTGTCCTTAGCCAATTGTGTACAATGGAAGTGGTGTAACGCAGCATATTGTGGCAAGATGGACAGGAAAATTTGGCTTTGTGTACTGCATTGTAAAGAAACTTAGAACTTAATCAGTTTATTGATCGTTTTATGCAAAGAGAGAGCACGAAATAGACTCTACAGGTGCTGGAATTTCTTGTTATTTTTGGGTATGCATGGTTACATGGCTAATTTAGCAATAGAAGCCATGTTTGCTTTCGTAACCGCCACGTGGCGAAATTTATCTACAATTAAATGACGCATAATGTAGAAGTGTTCTTCACAAATTCAAGAGCAGGTGTTTACAATGTAGTTAGATCAATCCGACAGTCAAATTTGAAGTATGGTATGTGTGTTTAACTATGTTTTAGTATGATATAAGAGTAGAAGTACTGCCTAAAGCCTCTTAGCCGTAGTCACCGTGGTTCAAATGCTTCAATGAAGGAAGATTAATACCATCACTCTCTTACGCCAGCATCGTCGAGTAAATTTAGAACATCACTTTGGAGAAGGAAGATGAGAACGACACGAGTTTTACCTGATA